TTAGAGTATTCTCAAATACTCTACCTTCCGTTGCAAATGTTGAGAATATGAATATTCTATTAAGAGAGAATATTCACTCCACTCCATTCCAGTACTCTTCGATAACATTCTAATTCATGTTCGCTAACATAGAATGAAAGAGAGCGGCTATTCTAACATCAAGAGAATGTTTTGAAGCTGCAAACAAATGCATTCCTGCAGCAGTTTAATACATATGTATGTCATGTGCCATTATTGTTGTTGTTATTGTTGTCGAACGCTGTAGCCAGAGAGTATTGGAATGTTTGTGCGCCCAATGTGCAAATGTTCACTTAGTTTGTAATTTCAGATTTAACAATAGCGCATTCTTAATGTAAATATATGTACATTTAAAATAACTTATATGTACATACATACATATATATATAAAGTATTACAGTATATACGAGTATATGAAAAAATATAAAAAATTAATTAATTAATACAAATAAAAATATTGTAAGCAAACATATGTACAACTTTTATTTACTCATATTTACATAATTTAGTAAAGAAACCATTCAACTTATTCGTTGAATGAGTTGCAGTATCGTCTAATTAGACGATTAGTGCTGATGCTAATTAAGTAACTACTTGATTTACTAAGTAAATATTATCAGTTGTTAATATTTCATTAAAATTATGCGCTAATAACTTTTGTAAATAGGAATGTGGGTAAAAATTGCAAATTAGCGCGCTGGTTAATTCAATCGGAATTCAATTTGAATTTTTTGTATTACTTACATACACCTGCAGTTGTTTAATGGAAAACTACTCTAGCCAATTATGCATGTAGCATGATTCAATAATGAAAGGTGTTTGCAAGTAGCTTTTTTCTAAAATTTAACACTCCCACCTACAAGGGTGATTTTTGGAAGCAGGTGAAAAAGGGGAACAATTCAATCACACTTCCTGAAATGGTAGCTAAATTCCTCAAAATGGTGGGGATAATAGTGATTTAATTTAAACAAGCTTATTTACATCGAATATAACCCCTGATTGTTATTAAATAAATATTTCTATGCGCATATATACCAAAGTTGTGTACGTTAGACGGCGCATAACTCGAGAATGGATGGTCCACTTTGAGCTATTTTTTTTGGTGTGTTTTATTGCCTGGTAAATTTTTTGCGGTACCATTTACAGTTGATGGATATGAAGACGCTGTTTGTTTGTGGAAAAAATATGGAATTTTGACAAAAAAAACATTTGGAGCTTAATTTTCTTTCGCCGTTTTAGCTCGATTGCTTCGAATATGGTACTTCGAACTCTTTGATGTTGCACCTTTAGTGTTCTGGGGAGATTATGCCGCCATCAGAATATCAAACATTGGCTTACACAGTCGCGAATGGCGATTCGTGCTGATCGAACTCAGGAAGAATAAAAAGGACATGCAGCTACTGAACGACTGAAACTGAATTTGTTTAAGGTTTTGAATGCTTACTATTTATTTTTTGAAACGTACAAAAACTTACTCTAGCGAGTATTGTGGCTTATTTGTATTTTCGTAGTGTCAGCTATTGCTGCTAATAATTTTCCCAGCTAGCACATTTGCCAGACAATTTCTGATATCAGAAAAGTCGGAATAAAAAGTTGACTATTTAGACAAGTCTTACAGGTTTCGTACAGATTTCTGGGCAAAATGTCTGGAGAATTTTATTTATTTCCTTATCCGATATGCCTCATCGAATTATGTCCGATTTCGGGCATACACGTCTGATAATTCTTATTTTCCATGATTCCATGGTCAGACATCTGTTAGATATTCGTCAGATTCGTCTGTCAGACTTTTCCACGTCGTGTCGGTTAGACTTCCTGTCAACCTCTCCATACGCTTCTCTGACCGATATCGGCCAAAATCATACAGATTTCTGACTTTTTTGCCGACGAGTCTGACGGATATCTAACAGATTTCTGGCAATTTTGCTAGCTGGGTTATTATATTTCATTATTTCTATAATTTTCTGGAATCATGGATCACTTTTTCCTTTTTCTGAAGTCGGTTAAAAATAAAAGCAAATAAAAGTATAAAACAAATGATTAAGTGACCATCAAGTCAAGGTGCTGGAATGGTATTTTCAGAGATAGTAGTAAAGAGTTCTAGCTTTAATTTAAGCCAGGAGGTTCTATCACCTTTTGTTTCTTTACTAGAGCTTCTAAAATATTGCACAAAAACGCGATTTTTTGCTGGAAACTTTACGCTTTCAAATTCGTAGTCAAACAAGTAAGAAAGTCTAAGTTCGGGCGGAGCCGAACATTAAATACCCGGCGCAGGTACTAAGTATATGATTTTCACCTTTGCGAAAGCTACCGCTACATGGTAAGCGGGTGTGTATACATTTTAAGTAAATTAGCGTCCTTAAATTTCGAAATATTGAAGTTTCAAGCATTTCTGAAATTTGCCGTTATATGAAAAGTGGTCGTAATTTGAATCTGATTCCAATAATTTTCAACGTTTTGCTTTAATGTGGCAAGCACAATAATCATACCGAGTTTGGTACAAATTGGTAGAACGGTTATCGAGATACATATATGTGATCATAAGTAGGCGGTGCCACGCCCATTTTCAAAAATTTTATCATAAACGTATTTCTTGGTAAAGAATTGTTGCAAGCATCAATTTTAAGTAAATTAGCTTTAATATTTACTGATTTATCGAAGATTTCGTATTTCTCCAAATTACCGTTATATGGGTGGTAGGCGTGGTTATTGTCCGATTTTAAAAAATTTCGGCCATTTGGTATGCTGTATCAAGGCTAACAACTGTGCTAAGTTTGGAAAAAATTGGTGCAGCGGTTGCCAAGATATACACATGTATCCATAAGTGGGCGTGGCTGCGCCCATTTTCCAAAAATTTATAATATTCTTATTTTTCGTCTAAAA